GTCAAGGAGTGGTTCTCAGTGCGGCAATGAAAACAGTTGCCGAATGACTTTACGGAATATATACACTTGTATCGTATTCCGTATAATATCCGTTGTGATTATATTATATTATACAGTGTACAATATACATTATTCAATATTTAGGGTTTTATTTTTATTATGTATTTATTATTACTTTTCCTTTTTCCAGCTAAGGTTTATTTTGCACTTATTCTCTTTATACTTGAGTGTTAATCTATTGCCAAGAATGAAATTATTTATGTAACTTTTGCTAATAGTGACCTAAACCCTATACGATGGACAAAAAGATTTATCGAAATTAATAATGTTGTTACTTTTTTCATGTGTTATACGAGAACATACATTAAAAATAATAATTAGGTATCTAACGAGTTAAATTACATTTGTACAATTTTTAAATAAAACAATATTAAATAAGAATTATATATTTGTATGGAAATATGACCATAATTCATCATTGGATTCATTTTTTATTTATGTTTTTATTATTTATTTTCTAATAAAATTGAACATGAATAATTTAAAAAACTTGTTAAATTTTACGTTAACATGGATGTTTAAACTGTTTTTCCTGAATTCAGAATATGGCAGTCATAATTAAAAGTAAATGATTTCCTACGGTAGCAGTAGATATTACGTTTATGTAGTTCTTTAATTTTTCTAATTACCTAATTCAAATTTTTACCCTTAGTCAATCTCTAACTAATAATTATAAATTTTCTTAAATGAAAAGGCTTTAAATCTGCATGAGGAACACAATGACTAAAGTAAATACTAAATTTATTATAACTATTATAATTTTTCAATGTTTAAGATTATTTTTTTATAACTGTCTTAAAGATCAGTCATGGAAAAATTTCTGTTGATCTCAAAAATACAGAAAAATGTATATGTAGCTTTAAATATGTGAATATTAGTATAAATAATTTTTATTGGTTAAAAAGAAAGAGTAACAATAATTACAAGAATTTAGAATGTATATCTAATATAGTACCTATTGTAATTTTCAAATTTTTTTATATCCCTTTTCATGAAAATATTCTGAGAACATGACATCATATGGAAAAATAATCAGCTCCACATGAATGGTTAAAGCTATTTAGATATAATTATATCTTTCATTCTTAAGAATGGTTAAAAAGTGTTTGAACGATTAGTGAGGATTTTTACGAATCTATTTTCGGTGCAGCAAACGTTAACGTTTCATGAAATATTTTACAATAATTTATATAAGTATTTTAAACTAAAATCGGTAATGACTGTTATCTAAATATAAGAATGACATGATTTAAATGAACGAGGAAAGATCTATTGGTAATAATTCACTATTTAGTCCGAATAATTTTATTATTTTGTGAAACCGGCAGTAGCAACTGCATCGCTAAGGTAAAAGTCTTCAACTAGTGTATTTTCTAATTGAATGCATTGAGGTAAAGACGGCTGTTGTAGCACTGTACGTTTTAGTTTCATTGTGAAATATATATGTTATAACATATATGTTTACAAGCGAATAAGTACATCAAGATTGGCTGTAGTGGATTAGCACTAAATACAATACAACTCAATCATACAAATTAATATACTGCATTTATAGAACACCGCAGTAACCACAGGTTATGATGTCACTGAATTCACACAACTAATTCGTTCGGTTGGTGGTTCAGATTGCTGTACATTTTGGTATTGGAATAGTCACTCGGCCCAGCGAATAGAAACAGTTTCTATACACTCGCCCGATAATTTTACTCATCTGATTACCGGGCTGAGTATATTGAGTATATTATCTTTGAGTTCATACGTGACATAATGCTCGGCCGATTTCACTCTCTGCTCGTCACACGAAAACAAGCCTGTATTATGATAAATTTGACGTATAACGATGCGGATTATGTACAGTTATACAAATGCACTACTTCATCTGTTTAATTGAAAAATCACACTTTCTTTGAACTTTTATATTTTTATGGAATTTTGTTGTAATTATATTTTTTTTAGTGTAACGATATTTTAAATACGTTTATTGGTTTCATATAGGGAAAGTTAACTGACATTTATTATGTTTTTTATTTTAAAATTACAATTTTAATTTTAGTGTTTTTTTTTTTTTTAGAAAAATTGTGTTTCGATACATTTATTAAACATTTCTTTTTGAGGATCCAGGAAGTTAATACGGCACGTTACATTGCCATGGTATAATTTTCTTGTCTATTAAAGAAGTCTTAAAGAAACTTACTAATCCATCTGAAACCACACAAGTCATGTATAGCATAATGTGGTATGTTTAATATGATAAAAATTGTATAATATAATGATATACAAATGATTCTATAAAAATACTATATGTTTTAAACAGATCCATACAGTTTATTTTTTCGATATTATTATTAGGTATTTTTTCTTACCATTTTTATTTTATCTTAATAATTGTTAAAAAAAATTAAAATAATTGTTGTCAACACTAATATATTTAATGCTCAAAGCTTATTTAGAAAAAAAAAAGTTCAAGGTTAAATACGGAAATGCTATTAATCTCCTCTACTATATCAAAGCAGGAGTCCCACGAGGCAAAGACTTTTCATCTGGCTTATGTAACATTTTTACCGCTGATATCCCAAGACTAATAACATACTATTAGCTTTATTTATTGATGACACAACTATTTTATCAACCGACAAAGACATTAATACGCCAGCACAACATCTTCAAGAACATCTAAATCTTATTGATATCTGGTGCAAGAGCTGTAAGATTAAAATAAACAAAAGTAACCCTTTACAAATCACTTTTTGGCTTCATTTTGGAAATACCCGACCATTAAACCAAGAAATCAAAATATACCTGTCCTTAATAAAACCAAATACTTTTGGTTAAAATTTAATCTTAAAGTTTTAATGATATTATTCAATAATACCGTCTGGTCAAATGTCATACAAATTTGAAAGCTTGCCAAACCTTCACACATTCATTCCACTCAATACTTTAAAAAACAAAAAACAAACACTATTACTTTTGAACTAAAACTACATAAATATTTGAAAATTTAAATTATCATCGATTTCGGTAAATTGTTATAACTGATTTAATGCAAAACTCAGATAAATTAAAAATCTACTTATTCGAAACATGGTAACGTATATAGGTACCCGATAACCTTCCTCGCAAACTTAAACGGAATTGGGATCGACATTTACTATTGTAAGTCATTATAAATCGTAGTTGTTACCACTGAGTGATTCCTTTACACTACTTTTTATGTAAAGTTTATATGTATGTAAAATATACATTGTATATACATACATATATTGATATCCTAATGACATAATGTGCATAGGAATGTGCATAGTGTTTTATATTTTTAATAAATAAAAATGATTATTATTAAACATAAATCATGTTTTTTTGTCTTCCATTCATAAGCCAACATTCGCCAACATTATGTTGTTTAATAATAGGCATTGATAATAATTGATTTAATTGATAAAATCATAGGGTCATGCCAAATTATTAAAAATATGTATTATGAATTAATTACCCAGACGTTCAAAAACCGGCTTGTCGAACGTCAACAGATATTCACCGATGATTGATGACAACCTGTGTAGTATTCGGTCTTTCGCTGCAGCAACGTATTTACTATATACATAGTATACGTTAAGCCTAGGAATTAGTCGCCTGAACAATATGCGAATTGATTTTTATTTCTTTTATTAAAAGTTCTGTTCCCGTTTACACCACTTTCAGGTGACGGCTTGAATCGAATTTTTTGAAACGTATATTGTTGCATACCGGTACAATACAAAAAGACCTGCGCCTGGCATCAGTCCGATACAGTTTTTCGTTTCGTTTGCTCAAAAAATGTTGAACGAGCATACGATATTTTTCCGCAAAAGCAGAAGCATGGATACGACTTTGAATAATATCATCTGCACGAAAACATAAGGTCTTACGGCGTAATGAATAAATATTAATATCATTGCATATAACATGTACAGAGTCCCCGCATATCTTACGCGTTAATATTCGCAATATAATCAGTGAGGAAAATATAATTTCATTTGCAGAAAGGCTTCCGCTTATTTGGGATACGTTTTAGAGACAGTTTTTGCTGTAATTATGTTTAATGTAAGTTGTACAGACGTGGTGTAAGAAAATAAAATCGGAAAGCGTCACGGGCGACCCTCGGAAGATTTGAAAACATGTTTATACAAGTTATTACAGTGGTTCTCAAACTTTTTTGTCCACGGAGCCCTTATGTTTTCAAAAAAATTTACGGCATCCCGAAAATCAGGAATTTATATTCAAGACAACAATAATTATTAATATTTCATATTGAGGAAAACACACAGTTCAAAATTTAATTTTTTTTTAAGTTCAGATTTTGTCATTAGCTGTGAAAATTATCATTTTACGTTTTACTGATAAATTTACTTAATTTAATTTTGTGAAAATATCAGCCATGTTTTGAAGTTATAGCAACCAAATTTTATCAAAAGTCTTAGTTGTAAATAAAATTGGTGTTACTAAAACGTATAACTCGTTGCGCAATTCAGGTAATCATACCAGTGTTTTTCCTCAATAACTAAGAAATATAATAATATTTAAATTCAATTAATTAATATATGCCCACGGAGCCCCTAGACTTTTCTCGCGGAGCCCTAGGATTCGGCGGAGTACAGTTTGAGAACCGCTGATGTATACAATCTTGACAGTATAGATTTAGTACGAAGAATAAACATTTATATTTGATCTTGGAAATGTAGATTTATTATGTAGAATTTGAAGTATATATTCTTAATTAAAAATACGTAATTTCATATTATTTATAAGAGGATTGAAAATGTTTAAGAATTATATTTGTTCGAATTTTATTTGAATTTAGATATGTGTTGCATGCAAATAGTTATAAATAAAGGAAAATTGTATATAGGAGTAATTATTATCATCACCGGCATCTATATCACCGATTAATCTTTGTCTAGTCGAGTCAGGCGATGAGCGGTGATCTATTGTGAAGTTCAGGGTACGACAGCTGTAATTTTTTCCCCTTTCCTGGATCCGTTTATGCATGTAGAAGCGCCGAATCCTACGCATAAGTCAGGCCGGGGATCTGAGGGGCCAATCTGTTGTTTGCAATATTCTGACATCGCGAGAAATATCACGAGGAATGCCGGACGAACTCTGTCGGATCGGTACGTATATGAACAGAACGGAATCTTTCAAATGTGAACTCCTAAATTAAAATACATAATAAATTATTTTACGTAACAGTACGGTATGTGCCTGACTAGTATGAATCATGCTTAATGCTTGTTATTTGAAAGCGCAAATTATTTTTCTATGCATAATAAAAGTGTAGGCTTGTAACCACTGGGATGCTTGAGACCGTTGTATTTTTATTTTGCTTTAGTATAATTTTAAAAGTTTGGCGCTACTGCGTATGAGCATGTATACTATACGGCACTCACAATCACAACCACCACCACCGTCGCCACAATTTTTTTTTTTAATTTTTTAAATTTTTTTTCTAACCTAACCTTTATGTTATTGACTTTCATTGTATTTATTATATTCATGGGTTCATGTTCAGTTTCCGCATTATGTATAATAAATATGATGAAAATCAATAGTATTAAGGTTGTTTGCGATTTAATATCGGGTTCTTTCAACAACGGAGTGCCGGACTAGGCATTTAAAAATCAGTGAAATTTCCCTACAATTAGTTTGCAATCTGCTTATCGACTTTTCGATAGCTGAGTGCAATTGACTTCAAGAGATCAGAACCTAATGACACATTTTTTTTAATCAAACATTAGTTTTAATTAATTAATTTTTTTTTAACAATCCAATTCTACGTGAATATTTTTAATGTATCGGGTTATTTTTTTTTTTTTTTGTATTTACCTCATAAGTTATAATTAAAGATTATAAAATAAGATTAAAAAAATTGACGTGTGCATACATTTAAAAATATACTTAATGAACAACACCAGGGGCGATTCCAAAAGGGGCCCTAGGTGCCACGGCTCCCTTCCTAAGCCCATACCATATTTATAAAAAAATGTAAATTGTTAACAAAAAATACATATTATAATATGGGCTATCATACGACACACACAAGTATGTAGATAGAGCCATAGGGTGACGGTTGAAAGGAATTTCTCCACACTTCGGAGACTAAAAACCTGGCTTCGTTCAAGGATGATTGAAGATAGACTATCAGCATTATGTCTAATTAATATATATCATAAAGTAGATATTCTAGATCAAATAGATCATATTATTGATATTTTTGCCAATTTTAAAAATAGAGGACTTGAATTTGTGTTGTAAAAATTATTTTCTTTTTGTTATAAGATTTTGTAAAATTATAACTTGCCCCCCCCCCCCAACCAAGGTTCTGGAGCCGTCCCTGATTTCACCAGATTGCAAACTTAGTTACAGTATAATTTGTATAAACGTTGTATACAACTTGTAGACTCGTAATAATGACCACCGCCGGCTCGTGCTTATTTTTATACAAATTTACCACTGTATTAATATTTTGTAACATGACATAAAGAAATTGTATAACCACATGTTATTCGTAAAAAAAATATGTTTAACCATTAGGTTATCAGCTTATACACAATATTATTTCTGTTCGTTATAATACTGCATACATCTGCATGCATGCGACTTCATTGTACAGTGTACACTAGTCAGAAGTCAGTTTATTATTTTTTAAGCAATTATTTTCCAATTTTTTAATGCACATTATACCGCATATTTTGATGTTTTTTAAAGCATTTTTTTGGAACTTTTTAGCCTTGCTAATAACTAATTAGGTATAATATCTTTAAGACGTAAAAACGATGAGACTATGAGAATATCGTTAAACAATCAAACAATCGGCCAAGCAATGATGGGGGACGGGGTCTAGCTCGCTACATGCCTATATGAATATGCCACGAACGGCGATTACAATAATTATTTTGGGGGTCCCAATGGTATGTATAAAAATAACTCATTGCATAACACTATATTATAGCAATATTAATTACTATATTAATAACAATACTATAGCTTATAGTATTTCAATGTGCGATCCGGAGGGCCCCGTTCTGATAAAATTGTAATTAATAAAAATAAGAAAAATATACAATCGTATAATTATAAGAATAAATGAATTAAATAATTTTTATGTAATTTATTATAATGAAATTATTTAGAGGCAAGTGGGGCCCCGAAACCAACCACAAGAGGCTTCTTTACAGGGGCATTTCCCCTGCTGCCCCTGCGGTTTTTGCGGCACTGCCTTGTACATGAACTTAAATGATAATTGCAGTGCGCCTTTACCTTAATTTTCTGTTTTTCAAACTCGTTCGCAACGGCGCGTTAAATCGGTATTCGTTCGCACGGCTGATTTCGACACCAGATAACCGTTATCTATGCGTTGAAACGTGATAACGCACGTACGGCATCGGCGAGCTGTTATCAGGACGTGAAATGTGCTTCTGCGACGGCGGACACCGCTTACGTGTGTCGATCGCCGTAAACGGGAAACCGATGGGAATGTAAATGTTAGATTGACGTTGGCGGAATCGTTACGATATTGTTCGGAGACCGCGACGGGAACAATCTGATCGGGAAGCAAATCAGTGAGAACCGCGGCGTGCGATGGAATCCGATTCGGCGGAAATCCGTCTGTGCTCCGAGTGGATCAAAAACGGAAAATTCGAAAGGGTGAGTCCTCCGCCTCGACCGGATAGCCGGTATTGATATTCATTTTTACCTACTCGTTATGCTTGCCCGGCAGGTATGCGTTCAGTTGCCGGACTACATGTTGCAACGGAGCGTATCGATATCGTCGGAATTCGAACGGCTGTTGGGTTACCGTGTTTACATACTCGGCGACACGTCGTACGGCAGGTACCCCTTGAACTTCATTATGTTAGTCGTTCGTGTTACTAATGATATCCTAATGTTTTATAATTTATAGTTGTTGTGTCGATGAAACGGCTGCTCAACACGTAGCCGCTGACTGTATCGTTCATTTTGGACGTACATGTCTAACGCCGAACAATCACCTTCCCGTGTACCATGTTCTACCAAGACAACCGCTAGACCTTGTCAAGTGTGTAAGTCTGATTTCTGAGACTTTTAGAACGTGCGAAGAACCAATTCTGTTGCTCTATGATGTGGCTTATCACCATCTTCGAGGTTAATCAAAAATTGTGTTGCTTATTGTCTTAGAGTTTACAAAGTTTTGTTCATTTTAGACTCTTTGGCTGAACATTTATCATCTATGAAATCAATTATATTGTCTGATCTGGATTTACCAGAAAATAAAAATGTTGCCAACAATATGTCCGATAATGAATACACAACATTATTCGGTAGACGGTTTAATAACTTAAATTACAAAAATATTATTTATATCATTCACGATGATTACATGAATAATGTTGATAGATTTATATTGAAGAATAATGGTGAGAAACACATTAATTCAAGTATAAAACAATAATTGTGGAGTTAAATTCAAAGAAATGCGTTTTACAGAGTGTGATGTATATACCTGCCAAAGCAGTTGTAATGAATTAATAAAGCGGACATTAACATCGGTGATAAAGAAAAGACATTACATCAAAGAAAAGATTAAAGATGCCACTCACATTGGAATACTTATATGTAGTTTGAGTATACAGGATTTACTTGAGCGTATCAACAAAGTTAAGCGTCTATGTAAAAAAGCAAATAAAAAATGTTATATTATTTCTGTCGGTCGTCCCAATGTTGCTAAGTTGGCCAATTTTCCTGAGGTAATAATACTATGTTCATAATGATTAATTATTAACAATAATATAATAACCATTTATAAACAAATGTAGATTGAAATCTTTGTGAACATAACATGCGCAGAAGGAGTAATAGAAAATCAAAAAGAATATATGCAACCTATAGTTAATATTGATGACATTGAAATGGCTTTAGAGAGTGATAATTCAAATAGTCAGTTCAATATTTTATTTTATCTATTAATAGTTATTAATTTATATTAATATTATTAAAATATATTTATTTATTTTCATTTTAGATATACCTGATTTATCCTTAGTCACTAACAAATTAAGAAATGTCTCGGTGATTAATGAAGAAAGCAATTCCTCTTTAGAATTAAATATCAGAACTGATATGTCTTTATCGACTGTTACTCAAAATAGAACATGGATGGGTCTCAATCCACACGATACACGACCACCAGTTTCAATAGCTGCAGAAGGAAGAAAAGGAACACCAAGTTCTGGTTATACTACTTCTGATACGGATCATCGTAGCTAAGAGCTTTTTAAAGAAAAAAAATTTTTATTGATACTCATTGGAGTATAATTTTTATTTTATATTATAATTCAATATAAAACGATGTGTTCAAATATTATGTTAATTTTGGTATAGGATTTTCTATTTAAATAATTATTGTTTGTATTAAAGTATTAATAAATTCTTGTGTTCAATATTCGAATCTTATACTCCCCGAACCATATTATACTATATTAATTACTAATTACTATCCATGGTTAGATGCAGAATACAAATTACTATAATAGTTGATAGTACATTGAAGTCAAATTTAAAGGGAACGGTATTATAATTAGTTAGCTATGATTGTCTTAAAAATATTTTTGGATCTCTATGAAAACAATTTGAAAACTGTAAAGGTGAATTACACAATTACTTCTTTCCAATTTTGTGGAGTCTTTAAATATTATTCAGTTTTGGAATATGCTAATAATTCTCATAGCATGTATTCTCATGGACCCAATATTTAAAGATTTAAACATAATACTGATTTCATTTATATTTAGATGATAAGACAATCATAATATTTGTCTTGCACTATAATTTTGATTTAATGACATTTTATCATGAATCTGTACAAGTATAATAGATTATGAATGGAACTTACACAAATATATTTTAAACTTGGTTTAATATATCTAAAGGAATTATATTAAGAATGTATTTCAGTCCAAGAACGTATAGTTGAAAATAAATTATACTGAATAATCTCAGCTTGGTTTTTAAAAATGCTTAATAGTAAACTTTATATTTATTTGTATAGTTTAAATGTTTTTTTCAACAAAATTGTTTTAATTGTATTTTATAAAATAAAGCTTTAAATTATATTTTGAATATTTTTGTATAATTAAAATTTTTATCGCCCATGACAATTAAGATATGTATAGTAAAAATGTTTACATATTATTCAACTTAAACTATAGAAATCAAGAATTAAAAATACTACCATAAAAGATAAAGTATAAATTAATATATTTAATTAACATATGTGTACATAAATATTTTTTATAAATTAATTGGATAACTATAGAAGTAGAAATCAATAATTTGATAACTTCAAATAATTTCATTAGTTTATTTTTGAATATTGTTATATACTATTTGTTTTATACAGTGGTTGATCAAACAGATGGTTCTAAATTAGATTAGTGATCAAATTACCAACATATCGCCATACATAGGCACTAACTCCATGGTGGAAGCGAAGGTAATTATTTCCGTACCTAGGTTTAAGGGGGGCAAAGGCAGAATTTTACCCTCGAGTAAAAAAAAAATTTCCTAAAAACCTAAAATTATTGTTTGAACTATGACTTATAAGTTATTATATCATGAATTAATAATAATTAATTAATATGACATTATTTTTGATTTCATGACAAGAATTAACAATAACACATCTTGTAACTATTCTAATAAACAACAACAATTATTTTAAATGAAACAACAGGTACCAAAGGTCAACCTTTTCGACTCCCGTTTCAATGCGATAGCTGTCAGCTTCCATCAACAGAGACGGATCTCAGCAGTTTGGTTTGTTTCCGCCAGCTCAGCTTATTCCTACAAGTTTACATCAGGCATGTATCCAGGAAATTTTTATAGGAGGGGGGTTCAGCAAATTTAAACTTATTCTTTGTAAAAATATAGCATATGTTGAAACAATGAAATTAATCAATTTATTGTGTTTAAACAAATACCTACAAAATATTAAACATTATTAATAAAATACATAATATATATTATATTGGGTTAACTTCAATTGTCCTGTGAATATTACTAATCCGTTTAAACGATTCTCTGCCATGATATTTCTGAGATAAGTTTTCAAACGTCACAATGTCGAAAATAACCTTTCTACAGTAGTATTTTGCTTTATATTTTCACGTTCACATCCACATGATAAAGATAAAATGAAGACCGGTCGTTATCGCCAAAAATAAAATAAAATACTTATATGAAATATATGTATATATATTTATAAATTATATTAATATATTAACAATAATAAGTTCATATGATAGAGTTGAACACTTGAACTTGACGGAATTATGGAAATCGATCAGTCATTGTCATCCAATTATAAGTATAATTCTTAAGTGTAAAACTGTCCCAGTTTTTGTGTCTAGTGATTTTTTTTTTATTATTCGTTCATAACTTTATAACGCCTAAAGTAAATTAGGAGCTAATTAGGAACCGCTAACAAAGTTACGTAGATGAGGATAAAAATATTTTTAAACTATATAAATAGTCAAAATATATTAAGGATTTCCATAATTTTGTTAATTGTAAAATGTGTTATATTTTTACCTTGACCCCCTCCGAAAAAAAAAATCCTGTGTGCGCCACTGTAATTATAAGTGTATATTTAAAAATAAATGCATATTTTGTAGCATATTTTGAAGACTTATTGTGCATATAAATCCGTTATTATAAATCTTTAGTTATTACACATTATTTTATTATCGTATAAAATGTTTGTAAATACATGCGACAATATGCGCTAACGTATTATATCCTCAATGGGTTGTAGAAAATTTTTCCTTGGAGTATTTTTCTGTCGCACTAGGTTTCGTTATAGAGCATATTTCTTCAGTCGGACACCCACCTCTACAAGTTACGAATGCATCATCTGGTATCTGAATAATGTCTTCTTGTCGATTTTGTTCGTCTTTTCTTATTTGGGTTTTGAACATTCTACTGCAAGTATACGAAAAAGTCATTAAGAATTAATGTTAATGGTGCCTTTTTGAATAGGCACTCGACCATAGGCGTGTCCAGACTTATTTAGCAAGTTGTACACAAAACAAATATACAAATGCGATACTATTTATGGGTTACCATAAGGGAAAGAAAATACGATCTTTAAGTTTGGAAGAAAAAAAACATTATTACCTTATAATACATATATGAATATTAATTATAGATTTTCTTGATTCGTACTATAATTCTAAACGTCATTTGTAGAAATCATAATTTCAGCGTGTCCAGCGAGATAAAGTGCCAGTTTTGCGCATGTAGAATGACGATCGAGCCATTGCTAAAATCTCGTTTCCCCCTCTTAGCTACACAATCGTTCAAAAGATGGCCGATGGAAAATTAATTCATTATTATATTATTTCTATTTTTTTCAAAATAATTTTATTATTATTACTGCATATGACACCTAAAACTTAATATTATATTTCGTAATGACTTTTGTCCCATAAATTCGTAAATAAATTACAGGTATTATTAAAAAAAAAAATACAGTTTTCCGTTTTCACACGGCCTCTCGATTTCCAAAAAAAAAAATCTTATTATTCCAGAGTTACCTTTTGTGTTGATCGACTGCTATTATTCTGTTATCACCGGGATAGGTCTGCGTATTGGCCAAACTTCTTTGTACTTCATCGCTATCACTGTTATAGCCAATTGGATTGCAGCAAAATGGTGCAAGTACTTGGAGAGTAATGAACACTAAAGCGAACACGGGAAACAACATATTCAACGATATTGTTGCAGTACGATTAAAATACGCCTTTAATATGATCAACAAATCGAATAGCTAATAGCATAAACTATTTAAGGATATCGGATGAAATTATAAATGAAACGTATTTCACCGTACGATAACTGCGAAGAAATAAAAGAGTGACGTCGAACAACTAATATCGTCAAAACAAATTAAATGTATTTTAAAAGAACACGATTCGCTCGATTTAGGACCATTGATTATCTTCGTAATTTTATTTAAAAACTATTTCGTGTAGCAACCGTTATAATAGCCAGATTGTATGTAGATTAGTCCCATGTAAACATTTTAAATATTCTTATCTCTTTCTAATGGTTTTCAGAATATTTCTTACTATTTTAACTTTTAAGAGAGCGTCACACTCGCATATGTTATCTCCGTTTGACATACGTACAACATAGCAAATTTGCGTTCAGTGATTCAAATGTAATGATGTTAGCTTTAATATTAGAGTAAACTGGCCTATAATCAAACTTTAAGGGAAAAACATTATCAGTGTTTTTTTTTGGTCGGTTTTTTCCGTTATTTACATTTTTAAGCGTGTTATGAGTATGTAAAAGTTACTCGTTGACCTTTGTTTAGTGTAGACCTATGTTGAAATTTTCGGTCTCTTATCTTTCCGTATCTTTTTCCAAATTTGTTCTAAATTTGTTTTATTCATTTTATTGTGTTCTGTTTAATATTTCACTTAATGGCTCCTACCTTAACTTGTTTTGTGTATAATTCTTGTTTCGCTGATTTGGATTGTCCAATTTACTATGACAGCTGCTTTCAACCTGCTTATAACAAATGCACTGGCCTTTCTGTGACCGAAATAAAGTGTCTTGCACTCAAGAACAGAAATTCAAAATATTTTTGTATTTCATGTGATCAAGGTTTGAAAGAATTTCCCGATCTAAAACAACTTATAAAAAAGCTTCTCACTGATGTTGAAGATTTGAAAGTTAAGTTCCAGCCGACAGATACGACCACATAATTTGACAATGATTTTATAATTAATGAAATTGCTAATCAAATCACTCGAGTCTCCAATCTAATCTTTTATTATGTTACTGAAAATGAATCTAACCAGGTCGAAGTCCGTATTACTCACGATCTAGAACAAGTAAATAATTGTATTCGTTCAATTATCTCTGAAGCTGATGCTAGACCGATGCCAGTGAAGTTCATTCATCTCGGGCGTTATCGTAATGATAATAAGCCACGACCATTAAAAATAATCTTCTCCTCGCCTGCTGATGCGTTCGATGTTATCAAGTGTAAGCATAAGCTTTCACGTCAAAATTCGCCATCTCAAATTGCTATCAGTTCGGACCGTACTCAACTTCAAAGGGACTCCATGAATAAATTACGTAATGAACTTAATCAATGTCTTCCAAGTGAGCCTGATTTAACTATTAAATTTATTAGAGGAGTTCCCAAAATTTTAGTAAAAGAAAAAAATTTAAAAAGACATTTTTAAAGTAGCACGTCATTTATCAAAATGTAAGAGGCCTTAGGACTAAATTAAACTTTTTTCGTAACTCAGTTTACCATTGTAATTCCGATGTTTTATTCTTATCTGAAACCTGGTTAAATAGTTGTATAAGTGATAATGGATTAGGTTTCATTAATTATAACATTTTCAGATCTGATAGATTGACTGACTACTCTGTAAGAGGAGGTGAAGTTTTGTTAGCAGTTGTAAATGTGAGCTAATTCTCACGGATGATGTTCCAAATATTAAACATATTTTTGTCTTATTAATTTTTAGAAATACAAAGTTCCTATTATGCTGTGTTTAAATCCCTCCAAATTCTCCTTATAATATTTATGCTCAATTCTGTGAACCTGTGGAAAATACTATGCATTTATATCTTAATACTAATATTTTACTTATAGTTGATTTTAATTTATCGAACTTCACTTCCCAAGATAAGAAATTATCTGATAACCTAGCTATCAATATTATTAAAAACGGCTTCGTCAATTATTTGGATCTTAAACAATATAATAATGTACTTAATTTTCGAAATGAATCTCTTGATTTGATATTTTCAAATTTACAAATACTTAATAATTGATACCCAATACTTGATTGAATTTTTGAGGCTCGTACTACTAATGGTAAATACTAATACTAATACTAATACTAATACTAAATCTCAATCTCAACCAATCTTATCATTTATAATTTTAAATCCTATAACTTTGATAATATTTATTCTTTTCTTGATGACTTAGATTTTATGTCGAATCTTAATTCAATTGATTTGGATTCATCTGTTCTAAAATTTCATGAAATGATACCTCATTCTTTTGATGTTTTTGTTCCAAAAATTTAATTGAATTCCAACTCTGTACAAAATATTATCTGGTCAAATAAATCGTTAAGAAATTTAAAAAAATTGAAAAAATTAGCCCACAAAAAATATAAATTAACTAACTCTATTATTGATTATGACACCTTTTCTGATCTGCGTAAAAAATGTAAAAACTTGTCGGTACTAGCTCATAATCAATTCATTTCTATTTTAGAGCTTAACATGAATTACAACATAAAATAATTTTGGAAGTACATTAAATCAATTAGATCAAATTCAAATAATATTCCTGCAACAGTTTTCCTTGATAATGACAAATCGAATACTATTGAAGAAACTTTAAATTTATTTGCCAGTTACTTCTCATCTGTCTTTATTGATTCAAATTTAAACACCAATTACTTTAACTTCGACCTTCCTAATAATTTTAATCTTAACATTAATTCCTGGAATATATCAGAAGTAGAAATCTTGGAAATGCTAATCAGACGGAGACAATACATGAGGGTGTGGCGTCCTCAATAAATGTTTTGTGTCAAATTGAATCAAATTAAAATAAGAAGCTGATTTGATAATCGAAAAATATATTCTAAAACACTGTTTTCATTGTGATATTATGTGCTGTAGGCAGTGTTGGGAATAGATAATGCAAAATTTATCTAGATGAAGATGAAAGATAATATGTCCAAATTCATCTAGTTAAAGATAATAGATAAAAAAATTAAAATATCTAGATAAAGATAAAAGATAATTTAATTTTTATTTAGATAAAAAAAATATATTTTCAAAAAATGTTATTTTTTGGTCAATATTTCATATTTGTAATAATATCTATGAAGACTCAATTATAATCATATTATTATCAGTAGGTACTTAAGTGTTTAATGTTTATTGTAGTAATGTAGTGTATCATTAAACAGTATTTATATATAATATACAATATTTAATGATAGTTAATTACTAAAATGTGACACAAAAAAAATAAATAAATAAATAAAAATTGTTTTGTAATTATCAGAATTAATACAGAATACATAAGAGATTGTTTTAAGTTAACAATATTGTTTTCCATATAATCTTAATTTGATGATTTTTATTATTCTATAAGTAGTTGCGACTCTATAAGTTCCAAGAGTGAAGTATTGACTATTCAGCGTATGAGTTACGTATGTATAATAAAATCAAATACCTACTATGTTTGGAACTTCCATGGGAAAATAAGAAATGAAGTTTAAAAATACCAAAAATATTTTCCCGACATGAAAATACAAACAAAATTACATACCAAGAAATAATAATTACTTATTTTAATAATACATGAATTATAATTATGAATACAAAATCTATATATATAAAATAAATTCGGGTTAGTTACAGAATTTATAATTCAAGAATGGCTGGACCGATTTTGATGATTTCTAATTATTGAATTTGTCTCCGTACAAGAATAAAAATAACTCTAATCTTGGCAAGAATTCAGACAATTATCTAGATAAAATTCTCTAAATAAGTAAAAATTTTATCTTAGATAAGTTATAAGATAACAGCGCTATTTATCTAGATAAGATAAAAAATGACAAAAAATCTATCGAGATAAATTATCTAGATAAATCCCAACATTGGCTGTAGGTATTGAAATCAGAAATAATTTAATGTAATACAACATTTGAAATGAACTGATACGAATAATTCATAGTTTTTATTGTTTATTTTCTTATTTATTTATTTTTTTATTATTTTTGATATTTAATATTATTTTTTTAACCGACAGGCTCTATGTGAATAAAGCTTATCCGCTGCTACCATTGTTTATTGATGATGCATACAATATAAAATATACACAATACAGATACCACACTTCTCGATTACGGGTTGTGCCTCAGCACCTTACAAATTATTAATATACACAAATGATAATTAATAATTATAGACCACCAGTCTGACCTCGTTTGCTGTTCCATATTCCGTGTTTACTTGATTGATATAGATTTTTTAATAAAAACGGACTGTAACAGTTTAATATTTTAGTCGGAAAAAGAAATTAAAATTTTAGTGCAGACGGTGTTCTATAAAATTATTGGAGTATAATTATGTTACGACTATGACCCTAGAAAATGAAACGGCAAAAGTAAAGATAGGAGGATCAATGAGCGACTCATTTAATATAGATTCAGTAGTTAGACAAGGTGACACCTTATCAGCAACACTGTTCAATAATGTTATACATGAGGCTGTAAATGATACGATTAAAACAAGAAGCATTATAAACAAGTCATGGCAAATCTGCGCCTATGCAGATGATTAAGTAATAATGGCAAGAAACGAGAATGGCATGCGAGAAGCTTACCATGATATTGAATATAAAGAACAAATGATGGGTTTAAAAATTAACGAAAAGAAGACCTTGTACATGAGATTATCCGCAGTGAAGGCGCGCCGTAGAGTACAGAACATTACAATTGGTCATTATAATTTTGAGGGTGTAAAAGAGTTCGTGTATCTTGGATCCTCCCTTAATAACAGTCACAACATGTCGGAAGAGATTAAAAGAAGAATTATAGCTGGCAACCGAGTATACTTTGCGAATATCGAACTCCTCAAATCAAAACTGCTAACGAAAATTACTTAGATGAAGCTATATAAAACACTTATTCGACCTGTAGTCTG